ACGCTGGTCTAAAATTATCTAAATAAAAAAATTCAGGCATTGTATTACATTATAGTTGTACTTATCCCGATAACTTTGGCTCTATCCAGTTCATCAGACGTGGTCTTATGTCACTGTTGATTTTCATGGTAGTTCATCCAGATCCATTCTCGCCATGTTAAGCACTTCAAAGACAAAATGTTATTTTGAAGCAGATAAAATAATAACAACAGTAATTATAATATTGATATATTGCTATAACACCACACGTCAATATCCCGAATTACTTTAAAATGTAATCTAACTGTTATGTATTATTACGTCTAAATAAGTATGTTGTCATTCTCGATTTGAACATTTCTAACGATGAAGAACTTTTTATATATAGGGACATATATGTTTTATTTTGCCTGTTTTGTCAGCTTGCGCATACCAAATATGTTTCTTTTGATTCATTGTTCCTGATAATGTATTTAGATCCTCAAAACAAGAAATATCAGATGTATGGCGACCATTTGGAAATTTTTTTATGTTAAAGGTGAACTGTCGGCATTTTCGGGGATTGATTTAATAGTCTTAAGAAGTACTAAAACGCACGAAAATCGAATAATCCCTTCAAATATACCTCAAACTAGAAAATTCACTGTCTATTCCTATATATGTGTTTTCTATATAAAGTCTCACCAAAATTCGAATTTTAACTTTCAACCGTGAATAATTATGGATACACATGGATTTCAAGGCTCAAATTTCGACGACGAGCTATTACTCATTATTATGAATGGATAGTGAAGGTGCTCCTTTAAAGCGGACATATTTTGAGAATATAACAGTTGACAGACTTTCTGTTGCAATTTATTTTAGGTTGGACCCTATTTTCACGAAATGACAGGACTACGAGGTTTAGAGAAATGTCACGCTGTCATTGCATTATGTCAAATAACTTAGACCTAGAAGTACAAAAAGGAAATAGCTGGTTTTCATGGCAAGGGCAAAAAAGTGTAAAATTTGATGGAAAATTTAAAAGTTTTCCTGTGATTTATGCTTTTGTCAACACTCCATATAATTGCCAAATGAAAAAAGTGAAATAAGTTGTCCACTCTAAAATAACCTCCAAGTCTTAATCGATGGTTCTATTTGGACTGCTGACGCAAAACAGAATTTCATACCTAATTAACAGAGATGCAGCTGTTGTCCACAATTTATCTCACTCGAAGTTAAAGCGAGAAGTCCATAGAGGCTTAACAGAAAAACTTTTGATTGATGATTATGTGTAGACACTCTAAATGACATTTCATGTCGGGGGAGTTATTACAACAATCTATTATAAGAGTGGATCCAAGTAAACATGAATATAAATTTAAAGAGATTGTAAGGAGGTTTTCTTAACTAGTTAAGTGATTTTGGGAACAATGATGGCATCGATTTGCATCAATTAAGTCGGACGACTGAGGTTTTCGCCTTCACCAAAACAAGGCACAAGCATATACGTATGTTGTTCTTTTCAAATGAATTCTTCGGGGATGGAAAATGAATTGTGGTATTTTAATGGATAGATGGGAAACACGGCGCTGATTTTTGTTGTGTCTAAAAAATTTAAACTTGATAGGGTGCAGATTCTTTCTGTTACTGATACTTATCATAGAAACTTCAGTTTTTGTTTGGCTTCCACGGGAACGAACATCTTGTCCATTCTATATGTAGAGTAACTGCCCTGTCTGCATGCCTTATATTATATTCAGTTGAAAGACGTGAATAGAATTTTGCGAGTCTTCGTTTGGTTTAATAATGTGTGTAGACGTTGTTAATCATCTATTAAATCCTTACAAGAAACATTCCAAGAGACTATTTCCTGTTGTTGGCCGTTATTACTAATTAAAGTAAGACAATTTCCAGAAGGACGTTTTTGAAATGAAATGGAATGGAAGTTTAGGTCTCCAGACTTTGCTTTTGCAGACGACTTACAGCTAAGTCAATTCTTCCCCTCGAATTACTTTTTTTCTGTGACAATGGAGTAGATCGACTGGAAGCGAGTTCGGTTATCGTCTAGATTGCTAAGAGAGGAGATGCTGTTGGTACTGAGAGTTGGTCCAGTGTCGACTTTTACCACCCCAACAAAGATAAACAAATATGACCAGAACCTATTTTTTCAGGATTAAGAATCTAAATGTGGAGATGGAAAGGTTATCGAAGCAATTATATTGTACTAATTGTTATAAAGGATCCTTACCTCGTGAAGATAATCCCCTACCTTCACTTTATGCTCAAGAAATCTTGTATTAAAAAAACAAAAGGGAATATGTTAATACAAGATTTCTTGAGCCTAAAGGTAAATTTTGTGAGGACAACGGCATTAGCCTGCCCCTTTTCGATTTCCAACTGTCGAGGGATCTTTAACGTGCACAGCCTGTAGCATACGGGGCCAAGGTTTATTGTCACATCCGAACGACTAGACTCTTTTTCCATGTCAGCCCCTCGTACCTGCATCACTGACATCACTGAGCTATCGCGGCTCCCTATTCAGGTTCAGTATTCAGTATCGATGTTTCAATTATACGTAAGTTTTCACTTGTACTTGAACGACTTAAGTTATAAGAAGGGACTCAGAGTCACTACAAGAGCAGAACGATATTGTGTTGCTAACGCAATAATGGGCGAAAGGCTCACAGTACTATCACCAACCGAATAACCAGTTCAAGGGAGGTAACTATAAAATGCCTTACAAAATCAGACCACTTTAAATTATGATATCTAAGCAAACGTTAAAGGGAAATATATTTTCACAACGTAAAAAGAAATTAAATCATAAGAGATGTAACTCGTGTCCATTCAACAAAATAATTATACGGACTCACTCCACTAAAACATTCCATGCAAATAATTGTATCGAATGTAGTCCAGGCTATTTTTCGAAATCTTCTTTCTCTCTCCCTTTTGGGGTTTTTGCATGCCTATTTTTGAGTAATTTTGGTCTAGATTTGGAATTTGATGATTATCTTTAAAATTTGGTGAGATGATGAGAGACTTGAAGGCGGAAGGCTAATTCTAAAAATTGTCGTTTTGAGAACTGCCAAACTCTAACGAATGAGTAAACCGGAAGTAGTCTACTTTCAATTTTAGTAGCTCAAAATTTTCATGTTAATCATAATATATTGAATATTTTAGGAGACATTAAGAATTGGTCAGGCTTTCATTCAACACATTGGAAAGCTTTCAACGATATTTCTGGAAAAAGTTGTTGAAGGTTGAATTCCGTGTTTTAACATGGGAAGAGATGGCAAATGAGTGAGTGGAGTGAGTCCATATATAACAAGAAATGAAGTTTTTACGCCAAATATTTCTCCCCTGGACTTGAAAATTATGAAGCCCATACACAACAAGCAGAGTGCAAGGTGGGAAAATTAGTGAATGCTGGAACTACATTGCTTCTTGAAGTTTGAAGCTGTCATTTCTTTCAGATTTTAAAAATGCGATTAAATTTCGAACGGCTGAATATACTCGTTGCCTGTACATGCAGTGATCTTCTTTAAAATGACTACTCCACTATGAAGGCAAGAATATTTCTTACCCATGGGATTACCAACAATTGTCAAAACAATTCTATTGCCTAACTAGCACCACAGAATATAGCTTTATTAAATAGAACGACTTAAATTAGAATTGTCCATAATTTTATGCTACGCTACGAAGTACCTCATTTGTCCACAAAAATATTACCATTACCAATAATTACCTCCATATTCAAAACCCTTGCACTACAATATTGACATTGATATCCATCTCACTGTGTTAGACCAATGTATGTCGATTTTCAAAATCATTTTGTGACATTTTTTCTACTACAGTTGTAACGAGAGACACACTGGTATGGGACATCGTATTCAATGATCATAACTACAGTGTTACGAATATACGATTGACCTCAGGTCCGTAGTCAGACATTGATTGCTCAGGGTGGAGGGGGTTATATATCCGGAGGGTAAATAAGTATTTGGTCGCAGTAATGAAAATGGTCGGTTGTCAAAATTGTATTCATAAAAGGGGGGCAGGGGAGGCGGTAATCTATTTTTATTGGAGGCAGGGGGAGTGGTGAATTTAGTTCGTCATGCTTTGCGATTATTATTCGTTATTCAAGCTAAACTTTGTGCTTGATGACCAAACTTAATCTAGCTTGTAGATTTGTAGTCATTATATTTTCATAGTTCCTTACAGTTAGTGGTTGATTAAGCAGCAGAGATGGATCGAACTGATAAATAGAAATTTAAGCTTTGAAAATACCCAGTCTTAGAATAACTTTGCATTGATAAAACAATAAGTTTGTCAGTTCACTTTTAGTATAAATTCGCTTCGCTTAAATTTCTTTTTTACAAAAATGTTCTGTAATTGGTTGAAAATTGTCCTCTGTAGAATAAATTTTCAAAATGACAGTATTTATGCGTCTATGTTTATATTTCTCAACCAGAGTCATTCTAAGGCTATTAAATCTATTTTGAAGCTGATATTCCAATTCACATATAGCAATCGGTAAAATCGATACCTCTTGTATCTATGTTGTTTCTTTTGAAATAATGCACACACTGTAAGGTTAGATAAATATATTTAAATAATATGAAAATAAATCTAGATGTGTTAAAAAATATATAGGATTCACAACAGCACAGTTACGATTAAGGTTATAATTAGCTAACATAATGTTCAAATGCATTTAACGTTTACGCAAAGAAAATTCGGATTCACCTTTATATTGCGTTCATGGTAAAAATTGAACATCTGTCTTTATTCGCTTCGCCGATGCTTTCTATCATTGCTATATTAATAGTTGTACTAGTTGCTTTGAACGTTATAGAGATCGGTGTGTATCATAAATATACCCAAAAAAATCAGCAATCTGGACTATGATAAAACAATCATCAGATATTCAGAAAGAGTGATCGTGATTACATAACAGTAATACATATTAGTCGCATTCGTCGTATCCATGCGGTTGTGAAACCTCTGAAATGGTCATATGATGCAGATTATTAATGTTTATCACATTCTTTACTGGTATCTGTGCAATGTTTATCGTTATTATTAGTTATTACATCGTTTCCGCTCGTATTACACAATATCCTGGTAAAGGCTTTACGCATGTGTTTATTTACAATACCATACACTATTGGATTCGTGGCGTTACCCACAAAAAATGTATATCGCAAAACAATATTACTCGTGGCACCAAAAATATCAAACCAAAATGGCATCCACGAAATTACATAAATGACAGTGCACAAAAACAACATTTTCGCCGTTCTTTGGTGTAAATTATGGTGACGACTACGCATGAGCGTGGACATCGACGTCGCAGATATTCTGGTAACTTCCGTTAAAAGCGACTCTCCCGTACTCGTCGACGGCGCTGTACGATCACTCTTGGTTGTAACACTACTCGAAGAACTGAAACCGGTGTCGTTCGAGTTGAAACTCTCAAGTTTATGTGTTGGCGGGGGTGGGAGATACTTGCGAACGGGTCCGTGATCGGGAACGATAACTTTATTCACATCACTAAAATTAGGCATTTTGAAGTTTGTGATCTTCGTCTGATGGGCAGTGACATAAATGCTGGTTTCGTACAGTCCGTTTGAAGATAAGCTCTTTTCACTCATTTCCTTCTCTAACTGCTTGAGCCTTGATCGTCTTTGTTTGGCTCGTCTCCACAAAACCAAATACACGATGGTATAAAAAATCATGATCATGATCAGGGATATGAAAAACGACAACATAAGTACACCTTGGTATATGTACGCAACCGTTTCACCAACGATGGACGTCGTAAAATGGCAGAACGTGGTTTCGTTTGAAACATGGGGGAATGAACAATTGATATCTTGAACGTCCGTTGCAGGCACCACGGCAAATATTCCTATTGAAGGAAAGGCTAAAATCAAACTAACTGTCAGCACCACAAGCATTCCTTGATTGACGTTTTGAACGCTAAAACGTTGGGCTAAATGACACACGGCACAATAGCGTTCTACGGCAATTGCTACCAACGTCATATTTGACGCAATGATAGCGAAATGTCTCAAAAATTCCACACCTCGGCAAACTATGTCCGATTGCACCATATGAAGTTCATAAATTAATGTGTAGGGCATTATGATGACACTTACTAACAAATCAACAATAGACAGCACTCTGATGAAAGTGTTGGCCGCTTTCTTATCACGCCTTTTAAAATATACTATCAGAACTGGCAAGTTACCTGCTGTTCCCAGAACACAATAAAGGCCCAGAGTTATTGCGAATAACATGTATTCCGTAGACCATATAAACTGTAGTTCCTCACTGACGTTTGCTAAAGACTTATTTTCCGATGGAACCAAACCATTATTTGGAGTCAACATTGTCCTTTAGTTGAAGGAATCTCACTGTAAACTTATTTACCTTCCGGTCTTAAGTCGTAAGTACACGTTTATGACCAATTATCTCCAAGTCACGAATCTGTCTCCTCTAATTCTCCCACGCAATTGTTCAGCAAAAAGCTTTAAAATAAAGAACGATTTGAAATTCCCCCTGAAAGCACAATAAAGTATTGGCTACTGTCGTTGAGTTGAGAAATAATAACTGTAATTTCCAATTTCTTACTCGCGTGTACAAGTAAGTAAAGAAAGCTGATACCGTGTAATTAATTAGGAAAAGCGTGTTAACAAATGTTATTATTTTTCCGTTTTCTTGAAGAAAAACGAGGATACAACCAAACCAAACACTTGACTGAGATTGGCTCCACTTGAAACCACTTGTCACTTGAGAGATGACATTGATCAAATATCAATAGGCACCATAACTTTAACTTTTTCTTCTTCCAATTACATCTGAAATAAAAGCGGATGTTATGTTAAAATACCAGGGATATCAAGATGCCATTTAATTAACATTGTTTTATTTAGACACACGAACGTTTCAGATATAACAGATAACCATTTGGATTGCAGACCACAATGTGGTCCGCTGAATATTCCTTGATTATTTTTCATGTAACACTTGGGTTATATAATATAGCCTATATATGCCTTTTTTGCTTTTTTGTCGTCCATTAAAGACGTAGACCTTTACAGTCCACAGTTTCGTACAGTTAAGTAGTGTGCGTTTCTGCAAATTCGCCATTTGACTTTGCACAGAGCATTATTTCTAATTGCTCTCTGGAACTAGGATGTACATCTTTTATTGAAACCTAGAAATATATTACGAGTATAATGTTTACTGAGACATTATGACGTTATGGTTACGATGTCTGCATTCGTTGTCATAGTTGGCGAACAGACTTGAAAGTGGGGGCATATGCATATTGTATATATGTGGCACCTAGTTTCTGTATTTTGTATCTGATTGATTGATTTCGTCCAGTGATAAACAGATAGGAATATGATTGTGAAAACCCATTTCCTAGTGTGACATATCATCCCTGGCACCAATTCACTACTAGAACACCTCATGCAACATGTATCAAAGATGAAGACAAGTTCTCGTGACAACATGATATATAGGGGCTATTGCGATGTATATTCTGATGAACGTACAGCTGAAATAAATACGAAAAAATTCTAAAGAAGACCAAGGATATAAACATTTATACATCCCACTGCAGGGACGTCGTTTCTTGCACAAGAAGACGAATTGGGTTTCGATATGATTTTACGCACTAGAGCCGACGGTTAACAACCATTGGCAATAGTAGAACAAAGTTAATTGTGGTTATTTAAGTTTTTTTTTTTATTTTAATTCAAGATGTTTGAACTATTGTGAAAATCGGCGAGTATTATTGCACATGTAATTAAATTTAAACTCCTCAACCGATAATTGAGGAAATCTTTTTTTCTTTTTCATTCGGAAAAAAGAGTTGTTATCACTGATACAGTTTTCTTTAGACGACATGCCATACTAGTACATAGTTCAATAGGTCTAAAACATACACTTATTTCATGTCATTGAAAAAATAATTGTTTGTTCTGATTTCAAATGATATTGGAATAATTTTTATACAAATTTATAACTACGTAACAAGTTTGGATAGAAAGGCACAATGAAGGTGAAAAAAGAACATAAAATGGAGCTATAAGGCCAACGAAAATCAAAAGTTGTCCTTTTAATAATGGTTTGGTTTATCTGAATCATTCCCAACTTGAAGCGATGTATCCTTAGTTGAAGACTTAAAATTACTTTAAAACCGAAGACATAGGTAACTGAAAAAATGCTGTACAAAAGCTGTCGTCATCATTTTTGATTTATTCTCATACACAGTGGCCGAGCCAGGTTTACGTCCGAATTTCTATCCAAGTTATGATATTTTTACCCGAAAAACATGCTTTGGGGCTGCGAGGGGAGGGGGACCCCCTTGCAACAAGCCCCCCCCCCCCCCACCCCCCCTTTTGGCTCCGCCACTTTTGCTTGGACTAGGATTGAGGTCTGTGGTTCATTGTGATTATCTTATATAGAATTATTCGCAAACGAAATATTATACCCATCCATATTGTTAGTCGGCACATTCAGTGTTTTACTTTAAATCATCAACAGATAAACATTTTTTGTATTGTAAAGTTCTTGTGAAAACACGATTCTTCGCGCACCGATGAAACATTTGTCTTATATTTTGTTTGTGGGATGGGAAACGGCATAATGATTGAGTTCTTTATTGTCATCAAACAATGATACAATCATTTAAATTTACTTTACTTAGCAATAATAACATAAACATGTCTTCGAATTCACGAGAATTAACAAAATACTCAGTCTAAAGAGCACGGAAATCGAAAATAAAAATGTTTTCAAGTGAGGACGTCAAGATGTCTGCGTGTTTAATTTTATACACTCGATGCTATCTTTAAGCCCGGAAGATGCTAATGTCAAACTCTGCAATCATTTCGTAGTGATATCATTCTGGTTAGGACCAGACTAAAAGTTTCACAGTTTAAGTGAGTTGCTCCAAAGTATTTTTTGCAGAAAAGTAGGAGGTAACACTCCATTCATTTCATTTCATTTTTTTCCGATCAATTTTTGATTTGGTTTCTAAGAGATAAAATGCTAATTGTTTTACCACCAACAGTGCTTTGATGAAAGGTTTCAGATGCGATGCGATGCGATTAGCAATGATAAGATATTTTTAACAGAAAAACCTTTCCTTCAAGAGTACATTTTACATTCAAAACCAAATTGAGAATTCAAATTGACCAATTTTTTTTCTCCAACTAATTTCCCCGCGGATATAGAAAGGAAGAAAAATCAATTCCAATAAGAAAGAAGTTTTTATAGGAAGTCGAAAAATGACAAACGATTGCGCTCTGTGATAACAACATTGGAGAAATCAGAATTTTCTCAAGACATGTACTTTTGTTTGATGGAATTCACAAAATGCCATACACGATCAATTTTTGATATTTTTCGAATTTTAGACCAAATTCTAATACACAGAGCAGCCATCATTCCATTACTAAAAAGGAATTATAAAAAATAATTGGACAAACTGGAATCGACGACTTCTATATGATTCTCACCGATTCCTTATTACGACCTTGCTTGACATTGTGAAGATAGATTCTTTCGAGTTCTGGACAACTTACTCAAAATATGACCAGAAAACAAATCTACGACGGCCAATGACATAATATGACTAATAATCGCTGTTAATTAATTGGTTGTTTGACCAATGTTACAAAAGCTAAATAACAAATAAGTCAACGATCATTTAAAAGATTTTGCATATTGGATTAAAATGTGTATGTTCATCACAGCGAAAGTGACAACAAAACAAATTTATTAATGAGAGACCACTCTTTTCACTAGTCAAAGTTTTGTTATCTACATCCTGCAACATAACCCCGGATACCACGTTTCCTAAATACCCACACGAATTCATGAAATAATGAAATCCCATAGCCTTATCATTTTAATGCATCTGTAGCACAATATTCCCTTTGAAGCAGTTATTCACACACGCACTATCAACGGTTTTGTAAAACTAGCATGCGTTTAACAAGTACCAGAACCTATTATACAGGATTTATGTTGAATAATAGAGAGTTCTAATCCCTTTGATTATTTGCAATTTTATTGATTTGAACTGTTTTATTTGCAGGGATTTAGGAATGTTCCTGTAGAACGAGAAATAATTGTAACATGCATTGTGGGCCTACATAACAATTTACAATGTAACATTCAAATGGCAATGCAAATTGTTGAAATGTTGTAGAATAGCGTGAATCAGGAATCACGAGTGACCAGGAAGTAGTCATCTTTACTCTTTATTAAGTTTACATGTAAATAGGTACTTATGGTAAGAGAAAGACCACAGACGAACAGAATTCTGTAACATATCGACAAATCTCGATGAGATTGATTTTTTCTACAAGAATACGACCGCATCAATGCAGACAGGGCGACTTTCGTACATGGCTAGCAATGAGTCCATTACGCCAAAGCCCGTTGTTACGGCTTTTTTGTGTATTCTAATAGTTTTTATATATAGCTGATGTTTACACGGACTTGAACTTCTAATTGACTGTTCACGTTGTTTGTTTGCAACCAAAATCTATGTGAAGTAGTGGCAAACGATTACGTAATGCCCAGACTGTTTTCTTTAAAATTAAAATGCATTGCCTTCAAACTGATTTACATGTAAGAAAATCACGAGTTGTTCAATGGGAATCTGTAAACAGTTTTCGAGGACAATTGTCAAATTTCTGTTCAGCGAAAACTAGCTTACTCCCTGTCATTACAATTGTGTAGAGGCCTTTGAAGGCTTTGTTGCACAATCGCATCTTAATTTCAGAAATGGAATTTCTTTTTAGCTAAACCAATCAGATATAGTGTTCGAAGATCACAGTCAAATTTTGAACCTTCAAATCTGCCTTGGAAAGTAAAAACACACTGTCATTAACGTTGTAATGTTCGTGTTCATGTCGATAGCCTCAAATTTACATTCCTACTCAATCTAAGAAGAGATATGTGGAAACTTAATCTAATTAAATTTAGATAACAATTTCATATATTTTGGGGTTTTCTG